AAAAAAACATAGATGGAAAATAGGCTCGTTGTGGTACTATATGGAGATGCCAATTCCTTTCGATGTTAAAAGGTCAATCGGGTAGAACCCACTTTGTTTTCGCTATAAGCTTTGCTAAAGGCCCGTTACACACAAGCGAGATTTCGACAAGGTCTTGCAAATATGGTTTACCGGGCTTACGCAATCTGCTTTTGGTATAAAACATGCTGCACATTTTCTTTTCCATCCATGAACTGTACTATAACTTTCCTCACAGTTTCACTAGATAAAAGGGGTTTCCAGCATGCTTTGGATAATTGAGATTTAGATCGTTAAATCTTCTTCTACTACTGTATTTGAATGTGGCCATTTGCATAGCTACCCGCGCCCTGTCTTGTAATTCTTTAGTTTTGCAATTGCCCTCTGATATCCAGGCGTCGAGGCATTAATATTTCCGGCATAATATGGGGCCATCTCATTTAACGATACAGCGCATTCACTTGGCATTTATCGGGAGTCAACTAAAACCTTCGCCAGCACCCCTTCTTGAATACCGTCATCTGATACCCACTAGCTGGAGTTGACTCTTAGGAACTGTGATACTTTGGCTATGGCTCCGATATGGTTATGCCCTAGGTAATAAAAAAAACATAAATATCCGGAATTAAACCCCATATTTTCACATGGCCAACTAAGGCAACTCATTGAATTTTCTCATCATTCAACTGCTCATCATTGAAACTGCTCGTTTCCTTCGTCTACCGTTAGATGAAATTAAGATAGCTTCTAATAGGATTCTCTCATTTAGGCAGAGGTTAGTTAGATGCTACAAATGCAACAATATTGTTCAGGTTTACATTTTTAATACCATCCTAGGAGCAAGCGAAGCATATGTATGTCCCAATTTTGGTGGGAATATTTCTATTTTTACTCAATTTATCGTTTGTATGGGCGGCCGGTCAGAAAAACATGATGTGATTTATTTCATTTCTCTTGGCATTAAGTAATAGAAAACAATCGGATAGGCAGTGCGCCACCAGAATTATTGAACATGATCGTAAAACTAAAGCCGCCACAGGTGTTCAAAATTAGCGCAGCCGCAAAAGCGCCTTAGAGTTAGGGAATCAAAGATATGGAAGCACGTCGAATGCGGCCATATATCGTTCGCAAGTGAATTGAAAATAGGACGACATAGCGAAATGAGGGCTTGACTTATGTATATACCGACTCTGATCTTACGTTCCAGATTCTTAAACGATTTCTGACGTTGGCCTAAAGACGGAAAATGATGGTACTGATATCAACACCGCTGACTTAAAGATGGGAAACGGAGTTGGCGCGAGTCTCTATTTGGAGAACTTGCCGAGCAGTCAGTCCTATCGCGTGACGACTGTAATATTTTTCAAGCGGATATATATGCTATAAAGAAAGCTACTTGTCTGGTGCCGAATAGTAATAGCTCATTTCCACAAAAAGATTAATTGCAGGGTAAGTTTTACGAATTTTAACACGGAGTGA